GTTTGGCATTCTGAAAAACTAAAGATGGGAATGGAGTAACCAGGGCTCAGTGGAGCATGTTAGAAAGAAGCAGAGCCAACTGGGTGAATCCATTTGATTTTTTCCTTGTTTGTTTTTTAAAAATATTTTTGAAGATGATGAATTCCTCCCCCCCCCAAGGTTTTTAATGAATATCAGTATTAAAAAAAGGGGGAGATAGAAGAGAGAAAGAGAATTTATAGAAGAGAAATTAACCACAGTTCTTAAAATAGCTCTTTGTTTCTGAAAGCCTTGTTCTGCCATCTATCTTATTGCTGGAAAAAAAAAAGAAAAAAAATCCTTAAAATGTTACTTGTATAGCCTTTGCCACTAAGGAGAATATGTCCTGATGTCACCTCAAACAGGTTAACTTATTTAAAAACTATACAGGGAAAGATTTTTTCCCCCCTAGTGGCTTTTGCCAGTGAACCCCAGAGCGTGATGTATGACTTCTTCCTTGTCGTTGGTGAGGGCAGTGGGCCTGTGGCGGAGAGAGCTGATGATCTCATAGCACTGTATCAGGAGATAGGAACGGAGGTACTCATTAACATAGTTTTCAGATGGAACAATCTCGATTATCAAAGCCTCTTCATTTAATTCAAACATCAAATGCCTCTGTGGTCTGTATTATGCTAGGTGCTCTCTTTGTAAGACCCTTATTCAAGCCGTCTAATTATATATTTCCTTATTCAATATTTATTGAGGGGGCTGGGGCTTAGCTCAGTGGTGGAGCTCTTCCTAGCACGTGTGAGGCACTGGGTTTGATCCTCTGCACCACATAAAAATAAATAAATAAAGGCATTGTGTCAATATATAACTAAAAAACATATTAAAAATATTATGTGTACCTACTATGTGCCTGGAACTACTCTGTATGCTGGATTGCCATATGTACCTCCATCAAAACCAATTGGTATGATTTCAATAATCTATTAAAACCTCACAGCCCCTGCTGTTTTTGTAATGCCATAGGTTACCCAGGACCTTATGAATGCCAGACAAGTACTTTACCACTGAACTACAGCCCAGCCCAGCCCAGCCCAGTGTGAGATATATATATATATATATATATATATATATATATATATATATATATTTTTTTTTTTTTTTTTTTTTTTTTTTTAATTATTTTTATGTGATGCTGAGAATCGAACCCAGTGCCTTATGTATGCTAGGCAAGCGCTCTACCACTGAGCCACAACCCCAGCCCTCCAGTGATGTTTTTAAAAGAAAAAAAGGGGGTTGGTTGGGTTTATGAGGATCAAAAAGAAACATTTTTTCAAAAGGCACAAGGAACTGGAGAATTACTTCCTAAGATAGATGTGATCTCTACTTTGGTAGGTGTTAGACTTGACGGAGCTTTACATAATTGTTTTGAAGTGTGGCATCCAGACTTTAAGCGACTTTGCTACTGTCTCTTGCTGGTCCCCTGTTAAAAGTGTGTTCAGCTATGTGGTTCTTTGTCTCCCAGGCTCTCAGGTTTCCCATCTCTTTGTCATTGGGTGTTGCCTTCTACACAAGTGCTTCTCAATCACAAATCCCTATAAATCACCTGAGGATCTTGTTAGGCTGCAAGTTGTCATTCAGTGGAGTTAGGCCTGAGACTCTGCACTTCTAGCCAGCTCCTGGGCGATGGTGATGCTTCCAGTCTATGGATCACATTTTGAGTATCATGGCTCTATGTGATTTCCTCAGATCTAATCACTAGTTCACTAAGTTTCTCTTCAGCTGTGTCTAACCTGCTATTTAACATATCTAGTGAGTTTTAAACTTTAAATTCAACAGTCCTTTTCATTTCTGGAAGTTCTGTTCCGTTCAAAAATAAGCTCGGTTCTTTTTCAATATATATTTTTTTGTAGTTGTACACAATAACCTTTATTATTTATTTATTTATTCATTTTTAAGTAGTGCTGAGGATCAAACCCAGGGCTTTGCACATGCGAGGCGAGCACTCTACTGCTGAGCCATAACCCTAGCCCCAAAGCTTGGTTCTTTTTCAAAGAGTCTTATTCTTTTATTCAAATTTCTACTCATTTACATTGGTAATAAATTCAAATTTATTTTATGATCCATTTCAGATTTTTCTTTTAGCTACAGCTTTTGGAGGGTAAATTCTCTCCTTTCTTGTGTCTGCTCCTGTTCTTTCATGGTAGAGAGTGTGTGTGTGTGAAAGAGGGAGAGGGAGACAGGCAGACAGGCAGGCAGGCAGACAGGCAGACAGGCAGACACCAACCTCCCGTGTGCCCTGGGCTGTGAAAGTGTCCCTGTAAGTCATTTTCCACTTGTGCTGCCAGTGTTCTAAGAGAACAGTCCTCTTGATAATTTCCTGAACTGTGATTCTCACACTGTGCAGGATACTGTGAATGTAGACACCCCACCTGAGACCATGGTTTCTCCTAGCTGCCTTATTTCTTTTCCACTAAAGGACCCTGCCGAGCATCCCCAGCACTTTTTGGAGAGCAGATTATTTTCATTTCCTCCATTTCTCTCTGGCTTTGCCCCTGCATAAATGTGGTCTTGCAAAGCCTTTCTTTTCAGAGTTCCTCTTGCACTTACCTGTCTAGAGGTTGCAACCTACCTTTTCATTTTTGAACATCTTACCTGTTACTAGCTGGAGAATTTCACAATGACTTCTCCTTTCTTTTAATGTGAAAATGATCCAGCCCTCTTTCCAATCTTGACCACATTAAGGTACTTTGAGCATGACGGAGTTTTATGGATGAATCTTATTTTATAGTATAGAAACTCAAAAGTCATAATTATTTCTCGGAGTGTGGCTCCTACCCCTCTATTAATCATACTCCTCACTCAGAAATGGAATTCTATTTTAGTCTCCTGAAGATGAATTAGTATATAGTGGAAAGGGAATTAAGCTTCTGCTAGGAATTAAATGATACGATAGGATTAACATAAACATTCACCTTGATGGGTCTGTGCCTTGCACAGGAGAAAATATTCAGTAGAGATTCTACTGTACCTCACTCCTAATAACTGCAAGATCTGCCATAAAAGTGCACCTCATGTGAGCAATAATAATAATGGCAAAGAGTCTTTATGGGTATTAGCTGTATGCTAAGAGCTGTGCCAAGCTCTTTATATGGGCTCTTTTATTTAAACCTCTTAACACCCCTTTGAAGTAGTTATTCCTATGTTGTAGCTAAAGGCACAGAGAGGTTAAGTGATTTTCCTGGGATCACACAGCCCGTAGTAGAGCTGGGATTTTAACTCAGATTTTAGTGCATGTGCTATTAACCACTGTGTTCCTAATTAGTGTCAACTGCAAATCTCTCTACATAAATTTCCTCTCTTTATCTAAGTTTCCTTATTATGGGATGGGAAACTTATCTTTTTGATCATTATGAATTATAATTTCCCCTAATTTTTTCCTTTCGAAAAAGCTATTGAGTAATTGAACTTGGATGGGATTTGAGCTTGTATTGATGGACGTACACATGGGATATGGGCTGAAGCATTCAATCTAAATTTTCTTCCCATCAGCTAAGTTTTAAAGTATTAAGCATGTAATTCTTACAGGGAAGATTCAAATTCTCTTGAGGCAGCTTGGAGGTGTTAGATAATTTTCTGGTAGTGCACATTTTCCATTTTCCATCTTCCTACCTCTCCCACCTCATCCCAGTGCACCTGAAGCTCTGAGAATGTTCTTTTGCACTTTCCCCAGCAGCCAGATCTCTGCTCATACCCTCACTCCTCCAGGTCCCTTCACCACCGGGTTCCTTCTCAGCATGGCTTCAGATGTTGTCCTGGGGTGCTTTCGAGACAGCCGGAGTTTTTTTGAGTCTGCAAGTGGAAAACGGAGAGCTGCTCCTATCTGGCTTACAGCTTTGTCCAGAAAAGAAGGAGTTAAAAAAGAAGCCTGGGCTGTGAAGGGCTGTGACAACTGTCCTAGGGGGAGCTCTAGCGAGCCCTGGCGGGCAGTGACTCATGCCGCTCTGTCACTCAGATCGGCCAGGTGGGGTTACCGCCAGAGCACGCGCCTCAGAGTGGGGAGCGTGCAGCCTGCACTGCGGGGGATGTGATGCCGGCTGGCCACCTGCCCCCCGGCCGGCCCACCACGGACGCCCCAGCCGGCAGCCATAGTAACGCTTCTGGCTGGAGGTACCCCTGGGAGCCCCCGGTGATGGGCAGCCTCTTGGTGACTGATGGACAGGTGTCTACCTCCCTGAGCGGGAGAGCTCAGTAGGTGGCAGGGAGCAGAGAGGATGTGGTGCACCCTAGCCAGGAGTCATGCCGTAAAGAGGTAGGACCCGCGCCCAGCTGCCCCTCTGTGCACCCACCCTCCCCGCCAGGAGGAACTTTACTTGGCTGGTGTTTCATTATGCTGATTAAACTGCAGTGGATTCCAGGGGCATGATTGCGCTGGGGAGGAGGGGTGATGAACTTAAAAAAAAAAAAAAAAGTGGTTCTTGAGATCTCCTAGCAGACTCCTCCAGAGATGAGTGAAGTCCACTGCGGTGGTATCCAGCCTGAGTCTCAAAACCTCCCAAGTCCCCTTTTCTGTTCCTTCCTCCTCTTCTGGTTAATCCACGATAGAGACTTTCCATCTGGTTTCACTGATCACTCAGACCAGGAGAGACTAGGTAGGGTTAGGTCACCTGGCACCAGCCAGCTGATGCCCCGCCAGCTGATGCCCCACCAGCAGCCTTCTGGAAATGTCAGGCAGGGGCTCTTGTGAGTGGTCCAGCACTTGTGTGGCACCGGTTGACCTGTTTGAGTTTATTCTTCACTTTGCCCCCGCCGGGGAGGCAGCCTGTCTGCGGGTCGGTGGCCATGTTGGCAGGGAAGGGGTTAATCTCTTGTTGCTGTAGGAGCCAGGCTGGGTCTGCTGCGAGGAGCTAGATTGAAAGCAGGCGCTGCAGTGCTGTCGCCAACGCCGAAGGAGTCAGACGCTCTGCTCTGCAACAGTGTGGAATCCATCTGAAATTTTTTTTCTCTCCCACCTCTTCTTGTTTTTCTTTAACCAGCGCCCCCCCCCTTCGTCCCCACCCTCAAGTCTGATGATGACACCTCCAATTTTGATGAACCAGAGAAGAATTCGTGGGTTTCATCCTCTCCGTGCCAGCTGAGCCCCTCGGGTTTCTCGGGCGAAGAACTGCCGTTTGTGGGGTTTTCGTACAGCAAGGCACTGGGGATTCTTGGTAGATCTGAGTAAGTGAAAATTGGACTTTCTGGGGGACCTGCATTTGCCTGCACGGCAAACAGAGCCAAAGGTGGTGGTGGCAGCGGTGGCGGTGGGAGGGTGGGGGAGTGCGGCGGAGGGAGGCTGGTGATCTGTCTGCATTTGGAGAGCAGGCTACCTGTTTGGGCTTTGGGGGGCTAGACTGTTAATATCCTCGCTTTGCAGCCTGTGAGGTGCCTGCTCCTGTTTGTGGCATCATCATTGTGAATTCGTTACTTTGGGCTAGTTTTCCAGTCTTTGGTCGTCTTTAGTGAGGAGGAGAGAGTGGATTTCTAGCAGTGCAGATTTTTGGTCAAAGGGAAATCGTGCAGGAGTTAAGACGAGCTGCCCATCTCTGTATCCATCATCTCTGTATCTGTCTGTCTCGAGTGGGTGGATGGTTGCTGTCTTGCCGTATTGACAGAATCCTCCAAACTGTGGCTCGTGAGCTAAAGGTTTCCTGATGGGTTTAACTGAGCTGCAAGTGGCTGAACCAGAGCTCTAACAGAGAGACGATGCTCGGCTCCTCTCCAAGTATGCTGCAAGATCAGGGATCTGGCAGCTGAGCCTCTGAGCCAGGAGAGCACTGGCGGCCAGAGAAAGCCCCGTCAGTGGGAGCCACCAGGAGAGAGAGTGATGTAGCCGAGTCACTGATTCACAGAAACTGGGCTTCATGAGGGCGGGGGGGGGGGGATGTGGGGGCAAACCAACCAGGAAACTGGAAAATGGAAATATAAATATCGCCGCAAACACCTTGACCTAGCAGGTCTTTCTCCTTTCTTACAAAAAACTATTGAAAAATGCATTTACGCTGTGTTTGGATCGGAGGGTCCTGGCTTCCAGTCTCCTAGAATTTCTGCAAAATGCAGTAGTCTCTGGATGTGGGAGCTTGATGCCATTCCGTTTTCAGAGAAGCAAGTTCCCCAGGAAGGTCTTAGACCGACTGTGTTGTTCCCCAGGCACCTCGACTCCCTCACTTTGAGGCTCTTGGGGGTGATGTTGGGTAATTAGTTGGTGCCCACTTAGGAGATAAGCAGAATTTGATTTTCTCCTTGGCAGCATCCATTCCCTGTTTGTTGTATTTGTAGTTTAGATATCAATTTGAAGGGATGTCGTACTGGTTCCTGGATGGTGTCTCCCCATGGGTGCCGTTTTGACTGTGAGGTTCCTGAAAAGATTTCAGATTATTATGGGGATTTGGGCATTTGATATGGGATAGGGCCGTGGGCTGTGGTTGAATTTGGGAGAGGTTTTTATGTGGGCCATGTTGAGGTGGGCTTTCTTTATTCTCTTGCTGGAGATCACGTTGAAAATTCAGGTGGAATTTGGGCGCGTTGGATGTGCCTTTCTGGATTCTTTGCTCTACCTCCCAAAGCAATCTGGACTGTGGTAGGAGAGGCAGCAGCCTGACTAGCTGTTGAATGTGCCGTCGGATGGATTTGCGGTGGCCCAGCTGGGCTGGGAGGTTGCATCAGTGTCAGAGCAGGGCAGGAGTGGAGGCCCAGCGTTGAAGGATGCTAGCCCTGTGGGCAATGCCACCTTGACACTCACGACACACTGAAGGTCACTGAGCGGGCTGGAAGGAGGCGTGTGGGGAGTCGTAGTTGCGGTTGGCAGTAGGCTGGTTGGGTCAGGGCGAGCGCTGGCTTAGGGTGGTAATCTTGATCTGAACAATCAGGGAGGACACTGGGGAGTTGGATTTCAGGGGCAAAGGGAGAATGGTAAGGAGGATTTCAGGCACCGCAATTAATCTGAAGCATGTGTGATTAATTGCTTATTTTTCAGGAAGACTCTAATTGTGTCTTCCTGCTGCTCCCAGAAAGCTCAGTTGAGGGAGCTCCCTGACAGGGCATCTCAGTGTTAAGGCCCGGGTCCTAGATAAATATTTCTTGATTTTATTTACTCAGGGTCCTTTCTCCCAGAATGTGTTTATGTTGCTTACTGTGTCTGAAGATTTGCGATTTCACCTTTGGGAGTTCAAAGTCTCTCTCTGGAGCATCCATTGAGCTTCTGTTAATGCCCCGACAGAATGTTTAATACGATTCTCATTAAAAAAACAAAAACAAAAAACAAACAAAAAAAAAACCAAAAAACAGTCCATACAGACAAAACTGTGTGTTTGTTCTCTGGAGGATGGAATTGGTGTATTCCCATCTTTGAGGAACTCCAGTGCCTTTTCCATGCCAATTTGGGGTTGGAGTCAGAAAGATTTTCTTTCCCCTCTCATCTGGTTCTGTGATGCTGTCGTCGGACTTGGCTGCTGTGCCAAGGGCAGCTCTGTGGATGCAACCTACAGCATCATTTCCTAATGCTCTCCACCTGTTGGATGTAGGTGACCCTGGACATGTCAGATTAGGATCAATTAGAAATCCAGTAAAAGAGACGTAGGGATGACATTGCTTAGCAGCTCCTGCGGTTCTGTTGACAGTTTGGGAATTAATTTGCAGGGGAGAGGCATTTCCCGGAGGAGTCACCTTTGCCACCCATTGACCTCCAGGGTCTTCCTGAGTTTCCTTTCCTCTCTCTCCGTGTTTTTGGCATCACAGGTTTTATTTACACACACCGATTACCTGTGCCGTTACTCACTGTTCACACCACGGAGGCAACTGCAGATGCTGCTGTACTGTGCCAGGAAAATTGACCCCAGATTTGTTGCCAGTGAATTGAATGAAACATTCGGAGGTGGAGCTGAATGAGCGAGGAATTTTCACAGAGACTCTGGCCACGAAATAATTTTTACTGTTGTGGTTGCTTCTCACTTTTTACGATCTTTTTTTTTTTTTTTTTGATGGGGGACCCCAGCCAGCTTTGAGTGCATCCTGATTTTAGGTTTAGCAGCGATCTTGATCTCAGCATTTCAGTGGATGAGGCAGATGGGGGAGTTCCTGGCAGCCTGGGTTGGGGAGAGCAGGAGGGATCATGGGGAACTAGACCTGGTTATCTTTGGGGAGGCACTATGGGAAGGTGAGTTTTAGACAGAGTCTTTCTGGTGCCTCTTTTCCTTTTTAGCCAACAGAAACCCCAAATGAAATTCCTAAGCTCTGAATGCCCAGTTGTTCCTTGAACTGTTTGCTTGAACTTTACAATAGTAGAGTAGTGACAGAAATCTCAGTGTGTTCAAGGTTTAAAAATAAATGGACCCCAGCATTCTTGCCTCCCTGTTAGCATGGGGCACATTTCTCTTCATCCTTCCTTCTTCCACTTAGGTTGAGGCACTGCCTCATTTGAACTCTTGCTGGCACACAGTGCATTTCTGCAGGCCTTCAGAAGGTGGGGACCTACAAGGTAAAAACCAGTTGGTTCTGGTGTGTTCCACACAAGCTGGTTTTCTGTGTTTGGAGAAGTTGGCAATCTTGCAGGAGCACTGGGATCTTGGCGACACTGGGTTTGTGGGCTCATGGTGTCTGGGGGCCCTGCTTTAGGAAGGGGGCCTTCTCTTCCTTTTGCCCGCAGGCTCTTTCCTTCTGGGTGGATCTGACTGTAGTGATGGGACCAGCTGTGCAGCCACGGTGGAGGAATGAAGAGTCACCACCACCCCACCTTTCGAAGTTTCCAGAAAGCCAGTTTTGATGCCTCCTCTTGCTCTGCTGGGGCTTCTATGTAAGTTAGGTACCTCAGCTGCGAAGTGGGGTAGCAGTGGTGCCTCTCTGTAGGAAGGTAGGAGGATTGGATGAAACACCCAAAGCCCTTGCTCTAATATCCAGTGCACGAGAAAGCCTCAATAAATGTTCGTTGTCATTATTTTTGTTCTTACGAGTACACCAGTCTATGTTTGTGTCTGTCTTTCTGCCAAGAGGATTTGGAAAGGACTTGGCAAATATTAGGTAGTCTAAAGTCACATCAGACCCAAACCCAGCTTCCCAGCCCTTAGGAATTTTCTCCTGGAAGTGCTTAACCACCTTGACCAAGGGCAAGATTAACCTGCAGTTGCCAAATCCTCACTGGCAAAAGGTGGCCATTGGAGAAGAGTAGACTGTGGGGGACAGAATTACAAGATCCCTCCCCATTCTGGTGTTCTCTGTCAAAGCAGATTTGTTGAAACTATTCAGAGAACACAAAGCACACACCTTTGCTGCAGAACAGCGTGGTACAAATTGGACATTACCCGCTTAAGGCAAGTTAGGAGAGTAAGGCAAAATGTAACAGGGGGCACGTAATGGGTACTGCCAACTCACAGTTCTTGCCAAATGACAATGATAATCCTTCTTGGAATGTCTGTTCGTTTCCCTGTGTAGATTGGGATTTCCAGGGCTCGGCTGGGGCTTATTTATTCTGGTCTTCCTGGAGCTCAGGACAGGATAGGCCCTCAGTAAACACACGTGCTGGCACCAGGCTTACAAGTGTGCTAATGGAAAGGAGATATTTGGGTTGGCTCTTTAAAAGGCCACAGATTTGGATCGGTAGAGAGGAAGGCAGAGAGAATTTCAGGTGGGCAGAGTGATAACAATAGCTTACAGGGTACTGACTCTTCACTGGGCCCTGCTCTGAGCTCTTTGCACAGATTAACTCATTTAAACTCCACAACAGTCCAAGAGGAATGTGGACGCATCACTCTCGTTCTGCATGTGAGGAAACTGAGGCATGAAGACCCAGCAGCTTGCCCAAGATCTTGCGGCTTTTGGTAGCTCAGTCAGGACTTGAGCCCGGGCAGTGTGGCTCCAGAGTCTCATAGCCTCTGTGCTCCACTGCCACGTATAAATGCCACAGGCGGGAAAAATCAGGAACTTTGTGTAGGATGCTCAGGGTCACATGCTTGTCAGAAGCGGAGGCCATTGTTGGAATGAAGAGCCATGCATTTGGGGCAGGGAGATTGTGAGATCAGGGGAGCTGCCAGGTAGGTCTGAATGCTGGGCTTTGTTTTCCATTTCTGTGGGTTTGTTGAGTAGGTGGACTGTAGAGCTATTGGATTTCTCTATTTCTTCCTCTTCTCCTCTGGAGACTCTCACCTGGTATGTGTGCACGCATGCGTATGACACGTGCCCTGTGCCCG